TTTAAACCAAACACACACTTTTTTTAAATTGTCGATTTAGAGATCAAGGGACAGGCAAAGATAAAAAACTTCGATGATGTGGTTTTTCATTGTAAGGTAAATTTTTTTTCGTAAATCTGTGGTAAGCAATCCAAAATGACTTAACATTTCTTTGCCAATGGATGTAAAATATGTTGAATGTCGGTTCCAATTTTTTAATATGATACATTACAGATTCCATCTACCTTCGACGATGAATACTGTACCGATAGAGCAGACTGATATGAACTTCACAAAGTAGAAAACAATGTGTGTTGTGCTGCATGGCATCAGTGCATCAATGCATTGGGCCATTTTTCGGCAGTATGCACATATAGCACATGATATGGCCCCTTCCCAGGTCCTGGTCATAAAAAATTTTATGATCACGATCAAAATGTTTAGAAAACCCTGTTCGTATGAAAAGTTGTGCAACACTTCTCTTAGCAATTGAGCAAATGGCAAAAGATGCAATGTGGAAAAGCCACAAATATCTAGAAATAACCGTAGTGGGAATTGAATCATGCCAATCTCAAACAAATGCAAAAAAATGTTTTATAACTGAGGTTTTTCCTAATGCTTCTGTAGTAGGCCCTATATTATGTTCTCCCTCCTTTCTTTCATCAGAGGTAAGGCATAATAAAAAAATGTTTGTTTGCAGTTACCCGACTGACCCTATATCTAATAGGCAACCCAAATTTTTTTTCGTCGTAAAAATCCAGAAGTCACTCATTCGTCGGTTTAACTTTTACATGCATCTTAATCAGTCAAGCGTTTGAAATCGAAAGTACAAGAAATAGTTAGTGCAACATGGAATTAAAGAAGAAATACAAGACAGTTTTTTTCATTGTGTGGTAGCTGTAAGGCAGTTGGCAAGAAAGATATTGCCATATGGCAAGCCCAAACAAAAGTAAAGCACCACACAATGGTAAAACTGTCTTGTTTTTCAACCAATTCATTTGAATTTGTGTATAAAAAAATTCAATAAAATAAAAAAAATCCTACCTATCGGCCCTATTTTATTTCGGCATGTAACAGTAAACAAACATATTTTTTTGTTTGGCCTAAACATGTATGGAAACTATAAACATAAAACTAACACCCCAAGTATGCCATCTGCATTCAGAATCGGTGCATGTGCTTTTTTGAGGTTGACAAGCTGGTAATTATGCTTCACAGCTGCTTCAGGCTGAAGCATCCGTCATTTGTATGGTAGGTCGCGGGTTTGCTTTTGTCATCAATTTCGGTACACAATTTAGACAATTCGAGTGGTTGTTTTGTGCACATTTGATTATGACGTGAGTTACATCACAAAGGCGATGTTGCATTGCTTCCTGCTTATTTCTCTGAAAATTACTTTAATTAGCAATAGAATCTAGTCCATACGAGGCGTATGTACAGTGTGCGAAAGTATTAACGCCTGTCCGATGGTCCGAATCTATCTCAAATTGAATTGGTCTACCCCGATCCGAATTGAAACAGACCGAATTCTCTATCCCAATTTTGGCCATGGGTAAAATGAGACTGAACAAGAATGACCATTTCGTATTTTTAACACATAATTATAAACAAAATAATTGTGAAAAAATAATTTAATACTTTTATATTTTACATGGTAAAAGAACTGTTGTTAAATCTCTTTACGTATTAATTTATAACATTGTGCATCTTTCAATGAATTAGTGGTGTACAATTTTTACCCAATGCTTGCTGTTTATGTATATCAGGCATGCTACAAATCCTGACTGCAGGAAGCACTGCATTAAAACACAAATTGAATCAACAAAAAGACAACCAAAAAAATGAAAATAAAATAATGAATCCGAGAAAAGGGAAAGCTATAAAGATGAAATTAGAGTTTGTGTCTTTCACAAATATTAGCTGGTCTGCAGAGTGAAGTTCATATACGACGAGTCTGAATAATTGCACAGTTTTTTGGGGTGTGAAATGCATGAACACTGCATGATTATATTTAATTTTCACTAGATAATCATGAAAATATATAGCAGATACTTCAATAAGAATATAAATGAATAAATTTTTAAAAAATTAACAATAACAAGAGCACATTTTTTCCTAATTTACTTTCTTTGGACATTCCTATTTGTCTACGGTCTATCCCAATTTCAAATGAGATAGTCAAATGGGCTATTTCATTCTCCAGATTAGTTTCGCACACTGTATGTATGAACCCAGAGGATTATAAGTTAATTCTGCTCTGATTATATGTGTAATGTATAAGAACAAACTTATAAAACATAATAAATGTGATTCCAAATGCATGGAATTCATTTTATATTGAAAATGATACTAAACTACTAAAGGTCAATCAAATTGATTCAGTGTTAAAAATATGGCATGCAAAATGAAAGTAACGGTTTCAGTAAATTGCTACATTGAAAAATTGAAAGGCTGTATGTATGCACATAAATTTGCAATGAAGGGAAGGTGTGTAATGCACCATGTTTGCTCATCACAGCCAAAAAAAAAAACAACACATTTGTTATTTTAAGGATAACATCAACCCTAAACACTAAAAATGGATGAAATTTAATTAAATGCATTTTCCTCTTTTTTAAAAAAATATTTTGTATTTGAATCTAATAAAGTTGTTCTCTATTTATAAGCAGGCTAGCAAGGAATTGATTTATCAGTGAAATGCATGTTAAACATGTTATAATAAGGAGGAGAAGGACCTTGAGCTGAAAAAATACTTGTCATTCAATTTTTTTCATATTTTGTATATTTCTAATTAAGTATGTCCTACATATCTTAAAGCAGTTATATCATTAGGTTTCTTACCTTATTTTGGAGATATTGATTGACAATTACTATGCCCTACTGTATCTAAGTGGAGTTTTAATTCTCCATGTTTCCGGGCTAATTACTCTGTCCTTAATGGGATTTTTTAAGCATATGTAAAAAATATCAAAGTGGACATGTATCTTTTAAATTATTTCAGAGTATAACTAGGATTTAAAATTCAAAAAAGCAAGTTTTGTCTATCACACTGCATCTGGATAGGGAAAATTACGCACTTTTTAAGACAACTTAAACAATAAAAAACGTAATTTACAAAAAATTCTATCATTCAGTATTTTTAAATTTACGTTGAAATGCAAATCCTTCAAATTATTGAATAACTGTAAAAATTTCAAATGATGAAGCTGACCTCATTATTTCACAGGACATCGTTAAAGAGGACATAAGCATGACAAAAATGTGTCATGTTACATTTCTCGACTACGAGAAAAACCAACTATGACGTCACAGGTAAGCTAAATAAGCGAAATAAGATAATACCTACATATGATTTCCGTCATCAGCCATGCAAAAATAATTTTTGTGTTCCCCATTTCTCAAAATATTTCATCATATACTGATTATGAACTGTTTTTACATAATACATGTAATACCACCCCTGTGTTCACCAAGTATGATCTTGCTGTACTAACAGATCATGTATGACGTCACCGACTTGTTGGACACGCAGTTTAGGGAAACAGAGGAGTGGATCAATCTTTTTCATAATTTGTTAATGTTTACAAGAACATAAAAACTTTTTAATTTTTTTATATAAGATGGTAATTAAAGTTAAAAAATTGTCAAAAAATTATACAAGAATTAATGCTTTACACATATTGCACTTATATAAACGGAGACTATGATGTAGTTAAACAGAGTCATGTGACCATGTGTCCTTCATCCCCTTAAAATGAATTCATACAAACACCCGGCATATCGGACCTTTATGGCACTCTAAACAGATATTAATATACTGTACATGTATTACGAAATACAAGTATCAAGACTTCAAGTACAATTTTTTCTATAACAAAATTAAGCTATCTGTGTTTAAGCTGAATGCAAGTATTTTACATTTTTTAATGATGAAAAATTAATAAAGAAAAAAAAAACAAGAAAGAACAAATGTTTGAGAGTTCTGACTATATACTGAATTGCGATTGACTTAAAAAGAACATTACCGATAACCCCCACCCCCCTTCAATGGTGGACTTTTTTTTTTCCTTTACCGTGATATACTTGAATTCTTAATAATGAACTTGAGCATCCTAACATTACTTGTATTATATTATCTATCGCAGTGTTACTGCTAGTGGTGTTCCAATCATCGATTATAATCGAAAATCAGTCGATTGTTGGCATAATCCAAGCGCTCGATTACAAAATTTCTATTCCGATTAATCGGGTTATTTATTTTATTTTACAAGTGTAATAGTTTTCAAGCCAAATATTCCAGCCGCGACTTTTCTATTAACTTATTTGTGTATCGTAATGGCGTAGACGAACAGACATTGTATTCATACCCGGGTAACAACGCTAATTCCCGGGTATGGACATACTTTGGATTCTACAAAATGAATGAAGAACCAGCTGGACTAGATCGAACGTTCTATCGTTAAAATATTGTCCTAAGGACTAGGGCTTGTCCCGAAACACAGTTAGATTATTCAACTACAGCTGGACCACCACAGAAAGTAGTTATTCATCCATTCTTACCATTTGATAAACTAAATTGACAGACTTTGTAAATGTCCGATTATAATTGATAATTAATTAGTTACAGTAGCCCGATCATCGATTATGAAATTCTTACCGATTCCCATCACTAGTTACTGCATATTAATTCTAATGCACGAAGAATGTTTATATCAATATACCGTTCATTCTGACTTTGTGGGCAGAATTATGAATTTCATAATACTAAAGAAGATAAGCTACTTATCTTCACGTAGGCAAATTTAATAAAAATTTCAGATAATATGCCGCAAATTCTAAGGAACATTATATCAAATTTCTCTGAACATGTTTTCCCGTAAGAATTTTTATGCAGTAAACCCGCGACCAACCTTAAACTGTGCTTACGATCAAACAAGTTCGAAAGTCCGTCGTTCTCTCGTCTAATTATCATAAATATGTGTTATATTCAATTGCTCTACTAATAATAACAAGATACTTACTGTCTTACAGTTACAGCTCTTAACCCCTGCTAAACGCCGCCATTGTCCTCCCACAATGCATTGCGTGTATCGCTACACCGTATTGTGGGATATTCCAATTGACATTTATAGATACACAAAATGTTGAAAGCGAGGGACTTAGACTGACTGTTCTAAAAATAGATTTTGCGTTGTGGGACATTTTTCTATATATCCTTATGGGTCAAAAAAATTATTTTTTTTGTTTTTTATGGTAGGAATAGCATTTCCAACATTTCTGTGAAGTTTAGACTACATGGTTTATGGGTCAAAATATAGATGACCCATAAACCACCTAAGGATCCCACAACGTGAGTCTGAGATACGCCAAATATCCCATAACACGCCTCTTGTATAACTATATATATATATATATATATATATATATATATATATATATATATATATATATATATATATATATATATATATATATACATATATATATATATATATATATATATATATATATATATATATATATATATATATATATATATATATATATATATATATATATATATATATATGCGTGGCATAAGGAGTTGATCCTTACGTCGTGGGCTCGAATCACACTGCGGGACGTGGAGACACCGTATAAACCAAATCCCGTGTGGCAGTATAGGTTCTGGCACGAAAACAAAATTGCGTCTCCACATGAGTGTAAAATTCTTGAGAGGGACGTTACACAATAAATCAACAAAAAAATAAATTTTCAAAAGGGAAAAGAAGTTATTGCCGTCCTATGTTGGCATTGTTTGAATTGCCTTTTCAAAGGTCTCCTTGTAATGAGTTAATACATGTAATGACAGTCGTAATAACAGATAATCATATCGTTATTACGAGATAGCTTTAAACTATTCATGACTGAAAATAACAAGGTTTTTTTAAGCGATTAAGAAAGGTAAGGGTTATTGCTCTAACGCGAACGAAGTCTGATGATAAATAAATCCATATATTTCCATTTCTAATTGATTTCCTTGCGATAACTCTTTGAAAGTTAGGTGAATTGATTTCTTAATCATTCAACAGAATGTTAATTTCGCTAGGTGAAAGGTCCAGAGCTTACATGTATGTGCATGTCAATCTCGTGCAACTGTGTCTGTGTCTGACGTCAGCGGGTTGGGTCTATTGAAATTAACATGCGAGGCCTCCTGTATTTAAAATTTATTGGAAAGCATTTTTTATTCATATTTACAATTTTATTTCACATATAAAGGTAAATATAAGGAAACACTGTCTAGTTTGTTGGGTATACCAGGGACATCAACGATAGCTGGAAACGTGGGATAATATGCATAACGGGCTTCGACAGTTATGGAAATTATCCCACGTTTCCAACTCTCGGTGATGCCCTGGCATACCCAACGAACTAGGCAGGGATTCTTTAAATCTTTTTCGTGATAGGGTTTAGCAATGTTGGTTTTTAAGAGTTGTCTTGCTTTCTGAGAATCATATTTTATTAGAAAACCAACTCTGAGATCAACAAATTATCACATAAGTGACATAACATTCTTATGATTATAAAAGCAATTTACAAGCAGATATTTGTATTCTTTCCTTGTACAAACAATTGAAGGGTACAGCTGTATGAATTCTGTGCGCCGATTTTTAATACACAAGGATACAAGTCATGCATATGAACTGAGTGGAACATTAAAGTTTTTTAAGCAGCTCAGATAGCAAGCTTACGTTGGGCAAACGCAAGCCCAACGGTGAAAATTACGTTGGCCCTCTGTCACTTTTTGTGCGATGGCCGTACCTCATCGTTCTCATCGGCCCAACGTTCACCCAACAAGTTGGCTCAGCGTTGGGCCAAAATTGGACGGTTGGTTATTTGGCATTGGCCCAACAGTGGTCCAATGTACACTTCCTGTCGGCCAAATGTTAGTTCAATGTTTTTTTTTTTTTTTTTTTTTTTTTTTTTTTTTTTTTTTTTTTTTTTTTTTAAAAAAAAACTAAGAGTAATGTTGGATCATGGTTGGCCCTAGGTTCCATAAACATGTTGGCAAATGATCGACGATTCAATTATTTTAGTTCAACAATAATTCCTGTAACCTTTTTATTTTCGTAATTAAGCATTTAACACAATTAATTGAAAAATCCTTTTGAATTAACTTGTTTCTCAAATAAATGTTCATGCAGTTCTTGTCACTCCTATGATATGTCCCATATCACTACAATTACTACATAATATTCTTCTAGGCTTAGAGTCCCTTTATTCAAATTTGTGAATGTTGGAATGTTCTCCTGTCCATATTAGTTCTGAAACATTTACTCTTTTTGTACTGTTCATGTTATTGTTCCTTAGTGTATAAAATTCATGTTTCTTACATAGATAAATCACTGACTGTCCATTTAATTCCAAACAAAAGACAATTCGAGGGGCATTTCAAAAGTTCTGGCAACTGTTTAATAAAAAATTAACCGTTTTACGGAAATTAGTGAGTTTGATATCATTGGAAAGATCAGAAAAATATACACATATTGTGACGTCATGTTATAATTTTTATAACGTAATAACTCTGAAAATGACGCCAGAATATAGAACGTTTAGCATACTGAAAAGTCGCTTTTTTATCCATATGAGACGATCGTAAAAGTGCTGCCAAAGGCTTATTTGAAAAAATATTTCAAAGAAAATTTTAATTTGCAAAGAGATACAGTAGGACTATGGTACTGTTTATCAGCATTTCCATATTTCGCTGTATGGTTTGTTTACTAGCACGGTTTATGTCCGGTTCTGCTATCATCGACATTCATTTAAGATTTTTATTTACATGATACGACTTGATTTTCGGTCTTTTATAAAGTTCTCAATTGTATGAAATAAAACATGTTCTGTATAAAACTGAAGTATATTAATGCAGTTTTCAACAAATATATTTTGAGTAACAGGACTCTTACCATTTATGAACAAAATGTACAAAAGTCTTGCCCCTGACTTGTTTCTGTGCGTATTTTTTCATATCAATTCAACTTTGGCGCTCCAAAACTCACTACTGATTTTGACTTTTGACTCCAAAAAAGGATTATAAATTACAAAGACATGTAAAATCTTATTTATTTTCCATGAATTAAAATCTGTGAATATGTGGAGGTACGGTGGAGTTACAACTGCGCCGGCGCCATTTTGGATTTTACGAGAAAATATGGGGCTTACTAAACTTAACTTCTCTTGAGCCTTCATCGATCCCACAAATCTGGTTAAAAGACATGACGAAATTATGCCATCAAATTTTGTAACAAGATCGTCTAATTTTCTTTGATTGTCAACTTTGTCTTTTTCTCACAGTTAGGTCTCTTTTACGCAGTAGTTTTAGCGAAATTCGATAAAAACATGCTAAGTTTGGCACTCGCTTAAACCATTTCAGAACAAGAAGATCTCCGAAATAGAACACCATATGATAGATTGTAGTCTATGTAAACATTCCACCAACTGGCATTTGCGTCCGTTAGCTTGCGTCCGAGTAATGAGCAAAAGGTTGTCTTTAAAATTTTAATTTGATCAAATCACAGGCACTTGGGGTATGGACCCCCCCCCCCCCCCTTTTCCATTTTTTTTTCTTTTTAAATCTGGGGTCGAGTCACCTTTTTCCTATTTTGGTATTCTAATATGCACTGTATGTTATCAGTAATGTAACTCTTTTGTCTCTATAAGCTGTTTTTAAATATATCGTTTTCGACTGATACATAAAAAGAGAGAAGGCTTGCAACTCTTTTCTCATCGTCTGCCTCACCTCGCTTAAACTTTGCTTGATTATTTATCGAAAGCACAAGAAAACATGGAATATGCATACATCAATAAATTCGTTATACATTCTTCTTCCTTTTCATATTTCCATTTAATTTTTATGTGCCCCCGATTTGTAAATATTTCGATTAAATCACCCGCATCTAGGGTAAATTTTGTTGATGTGCACCAGCTGGGACGGAAGTGCAAGAACGGAAACTCTAACTTTATAAATGTTCTGCATTAAAAAAAATTCCAGGCTTTGCAATAACAATATTGTGAAATTTGGTTGTCTAGGTCGTCTGTTAAAAGTTAATCTTCATCCATTAGAATTTCTAGTTACAGTTATCTTGTTATTCACAGAACTCACCGTTACATGTTATATAAAGAGAAAATTCGGGATTTATTCCTTCTCGCATTTATGTTCCGAATGACATTACACGTAATGATGATACCCGAAAATACCGGGCACTTCCGTCCCAGCTGGTGCACATCAACAAAATTTACCCTAGATGCGGGTGATTTAATCGAAATATTTACAAATCGGGGGCACATAAAAATTAAATGGAAATATGAAAAGGAAGAAGAATGTATAACGAATTTATTGATGTATGCATATTCCATGTTTTCTTGTGCTTTCGATAAATAATCAGGCAAAGTTTAAGCGAGGTGAGGCAGACGATGAGAAAAGAGTTGCAAGCCTTCTCTCTTTTTATGTATCAGTCGAAAACGATATATTTAAAAACAGCTTATAGAGACAAAAGAGTTACATTACTGATAACATACAGTGCATATTAGAATACCAAAATAGGAAAAAGGTGACTCGACCCCAGATTTAAAAAGAAAAAAAAATGGAAAAGGGGGGGGGGTCCATACCCCAAGTGCCTATGGATCAAATTGTCTTTGTTACGTCATTTTTATGGTCAGTGTGCTAAACATGCGGAAGTCTGACGTCATTTTCGGAGTTATTACGTCATAAAAATTATAACGTGACGTCACAATATGTGTGTATTTTTCTGATTTTTCCAATGATATCAAACTCAATAATTTCCGTAAAACGGTTAATTCTTTATTAAACAGTTGCCACAACTTTTGAAATGCCCCTTGATTCAACCACATTACGGTTAATTGTGCGCTGATCTTGGGTGTTTGCAAAGACTGTCTTTTTCAATCTTTTACATAAGCTGTTGTTTTTATATCAAATCAGCGCCCTTTCACACTCGAGAGGCTTTTGTGTCAGCAATAGGAACCCACCCCCTCCC